CTAAATATTTATATGCGATTAAAAATGCGATTAATTGCGATTAATTAATTACAAAGCCTGTAATTAATTAGATTAATTTTTTTAATCGAGTCCCGGCCCTACTTTTTATATAATAATAACACATTGTAGCCTTTGCTAATGATAATACTGCTGACAAAAGATATGAATGAGTATAAGGCTGATTATATACACTTATTTCCAATAACACCTAGCACAATGGCACTTGCTGCACATCTGGAGCGTTCCCTGAACAGCGGCACTGTGGCGGGACTTGTTGTCTCTATTTGTTGTTTCCCACTCAGTTCTCGGCCCTTGGTGGTAAGTGTAGAGTGAGCGCAGTGTGACAGCTTTATAGAGTTGCAAAAAGCTCCTTTTTTGTGGACTGTGGGAACGGTTGTGAATGTGAACCCCGGCTTAGTGTAGCTCCAGACTGACCACTTTGTTCGACTGCTAGGTATCATATTTCATGCTATTCTACTCTCTTGCAGCTCTAGATCTCTTGCCACCCTCTCACACAGAATTGACACAGCAGAAGCAGCAAAGTGCAGCCTGCTGTGGGCTGCCATACAATTTATTTGGAAAATGCGGCCAATCTGAAAGTTTGGGATATTTTAACCCATTGCGCAAAGGTGTGGCGAGAGAGTAACCTCAGCCAACCTGTAAACATGTTTCTGTAGCTGCTGTGACATGTTGACATGTGTCACAAATATTCCTGCTTGAAACACATGAACATGCCCCCTTGCTGTAGAAATATGTCGTCATTGTGGTGTGCACTTCCTGCAGATAGCAGACAGGGATAACTGTGAGACAGTAGGCTGTGACAGTAATACTAGTGCCCTCTTATTTAATATTCAAGAAAACCATAAGAAACTCAGACAAAATCTAAAAAGAAAATTACGTGTTGCAGAAAAATATTCATTTTTTCCCCAATAATGTGAATCAACCTCTAGCACTTATATACTAATAAAGGACTGGCTTATCTAAAGCCAGTTGAGTAGCACTTGAAATGTTTGGCTCTATGAAACCTGATGTACTTATATGATTCTGTTTTCTTCAAGGTTGTATCTTCCTGGTCGAATGTAGTTATTGTAAGTCGCTTTGGATAAAAGCGTCAGCTAAATGTAATGTAATGTAGTTCAGGCAACGTCATACAGGCCGTGTAATGGTATCTACATATGTCTCTTTATTACCTGAGACATTAGGGTCGACTGATTTTTTTACTGGAAGAAGGACAGGTAATGGTGACAGCTGAGACTTTCCCTCTACATTTTTACCAGTTTATCAGCCCAAAACACTTGGCAGTACAGATGCCCTAAACATGAGCTGCCACTCATGAAACCACCCTATAGACATCACCAGCTTCAGTTACGACCAACGCCTAAGATGAGAATAGAATGGAGAAGTTGTATTCTATCTGTAACATAAGCACGCCGTTCAATTACATTTCATATTCATTTAAGGTGTGAAAGCATGACTGTAAACCTGACAGTGTACAAATGAGTGACTCTGACTCGCAGACACAAGATGAAACGTATGGAAATAAAATCTGGATCCATGTATGCATTTGAGTAAGCATGAAGTGTGCCTCGAGGCATTCATTCAATATACAGTAACACAGCGTTATAGAGAGTCCTCAGACATTTATTTATAGCTGGTTTTCTATTTTCACCGCTCCATGTGCAGTATGCATCCATACCTGCGGCTCAGCCCGTTGACATGCCAACCGCTGTCCCGCAGTGGGAGGCCAGCCTTTCTTTAGTCTCAGCCCCGTCTGATGCCTCGAGTGAAAATGAAACACCCCCCTCCGAGCTGTGAATTACACAAACACAAATCAGAGGTGGATAAAGACAGGGTCCCTGGTGGGCCTGCTGCAAATATAGCTGCAGCAGCACATGTAGCTTGTATCCTCTCATAACTGCAGCTCTGTCCACCAGTAAATAAAGCTGATCTTGGTTAAATAGTGTTGTTGCTAAGGATTGTTAACAAAAAAAGAATTAAGCTCTGTTGCACTGCTAAAGATGTCCACTTTACGTCATATTACCGCATACTCTGGTGCGGAGCATATTTAGTCTTTGTGTTCAAACTAGGGAAATATCTGCCATTGGAACATTTCTGCTGCTTTCAATGCAAACGTAAACTCGTTTCACTGAAACTGAACGTTGCTGGAGTGATCTGTAGCACGATACTGTCCCATTGTTTCAAGAAAATGGCGACCCTAGTGTAAGCAAGTGTAGCAGGACAGGTTATCTTACTGTATCGGCAGGATTTTAGTCCAGGTGTTTTTTCTTCCTTTTTGTTGTAATGATGACATTGCCTTCTCTGCATCTGGTTTTGTTATAAATAATAATGTGCAATCATTTTTTCCATAAATGTTTGATATTGCTGAAGTGTGAGTTGTTTAATTATTTTTGTTATTAAAAATGCTTGGTAATAGAGATCAGATGATGTCTCGGCTGCTCCTCGGACTGCTGCAGATACAGTAGGCTTACAAGAGGCGTCTTATCAGCAATGCAGCTGTGCTCTAGCTAGTGGGTTGTACTCCTCAATAGATGCTGCACAAACCTCCTTTTGTTAGCAGAGGAATGCTAACTTGCTAGCTTTGACTTGGGCTGACCCTGCAGCAGCTTTGTACAGCAGGCTTTAGAGCAGCTCTGTCTTTGGTCTTCTCCTGAAAGCTTGTGTTGTCCTCTGTCTTCAACCACTGACCCTGACACATTATGAGAGCCTCCTCTGCTCTTTTGTCCGATTTTTTACCCCCCCCCTTCCTATCCTGTCCGTAGCTCTGCCCCGCTGCCGAGGCCACTGTCTTTTGTACTGTTCTGGATAAAAAAAGTCCTTGTTCTGCGGCAGATATGAGAACAAAGGGATGGACTAAGAACTCTGAGGTTAAATCTTCCCGATGTGTGCATTAAGATGCCCTTTCTTAAAAGCTCTATATTGCTGTGTAGATAAAATTGTTAAGAATGTTAGAACTTATGCATTTCAATGTTTTTGGCTTTTGAACACAACATTTCTGTATTTTTGTAAAAGCAATTACCTTCATACCTGTGTAATAATGTCTCTAATTCCTCTTTTTCTTTCTTTTCCTGCACAGGTACTGCTTCATTGTGACACTTAGTTATCTGATAGTATGTCAGATCACTCGTGTCTACGTGTTTGACTATGGCATGTACTCTGCAGATTTCACAGGGTAAGCTTCACTAAGACTATATTACTTTTTCAAATCTTTTTTTTATTTTTATAAAAACCTCCAGGGGTATTTATGTTGAATGCTATATGAAATACAAAGCTAAACAAAACCCGAAGTCAACAATAAGAGTCAGGGGAAATAATGGGATATGACTCAAGCAGACTGAGCCAAACAGAAACCAGAGCGTGTCACACTGCTGTGTCCGCAGGAGGACGTCGATAGCGACTCTTGTGGTTGGTTCCCACTTCTCCAGACTGTCTGACAATTTAAGCAGACAGCCTGCACTCCCAGCACGCCACGATGGGGGATGCTAGTTGCTAAGCAACCCAATGCAAACCCATACGGCGAGGGCAGAGATTTCAGTCTTTTAAAAACCTAGTCTGCCATTCCTTTTGCATCTCTTTGAAAAGTCAAATTTACGTTTTCCTTGAGGTCAGCATGAACCTTATAGTGAAAGACGAGACCAGATAGTAAAAACATTCCTATTATTTTATCAAGAGACCAAAACTTATCTGGCCTGTTGGCTTGTTTTGACTACATTTTATCTTGCCACCAACCGTTTTCATGTAAGCAATTAGTCCAGAATCTGTATTTGCTGAAGGACAGAAAGAGTGTACATGTCTTAAGGAAGGTTAGGCCAAAAGAGAGCCGACTTTAAAAGGTCTCTGATAGAGTATGGCTTGAATAAGTCAAGAGAAAGAGGGCTCAGTGTCAAAGGACTCATAAGACCTTGGGAATAGAGAAGAGGAATAGAAAGAATAAAAGGAAGTCTGCAATTATACATGTGACTTCCCATTTTGGATGAACTTTAATCTAAAAACATTCCTTGCTAGCAGAACCTAATCACGGAAAAACAGTTTACATATTTAAATAGTTTACATATTCTCCTTTACTTAAAAGAAACAAAAGATGTTTGGTTAAGCATGTGAGAAATACTTGTATTAGAAAATGTGGCCCTGTTGTGTGGTTTTGAAATTCTCTATAGTTACATGGCTATTTCTGTTTGATGACTTTTATCAGGCCAATGATGGTTATAACACAGAAGATTACCAGCTTGGCGTTTGAAATACATGACGGTAAGACAAGCGTGTGTGTGCGTGCGTGTGTCTCTTTGTCTTTGTCTGTGTGTACGAGCATCCTCTTTGCAAAACATGTGACAGAAGTGAAAATGGTTTATTTCTCTTTCGAGTTTCCAAAAAGATCACATGGCCATGTTCCAGTTCTGACAATGGACTAGTGAACAAGACAGCATAAACACAGTTATGCAATGACCAAATATGCACTCTCTCCCATAACCCCCCCCCCCGCTCTCTCTGTAACAGGTTATTGTCTCTAAACACGATATGAACTAGACTGAATAATGTTGAAAAAGCAATGTTTGAACCATTTCTCTGCAAAAATGAGCTCATGAGCAATAAATAAAAGGAAGAGAATGACATTGTGGTTAAAACAAACATGTTATGTGTGAGCAAGTATCAGAGAGGCCATTTGGAGACTTAAGGCTATTCTAGCCTCATCACAATCAGCAGTCTTACAGCAAGTCATGTATTGATGTGCGTGTCGGTGGGTGCATGCATGTGTATGCAGCGCAGAGTAGAGTAGTGTTTTCAATTCTGTTCAGGTCACCGCTTCTGCTCACAACTGCGAGTCTAATGAGAAACTAAGAATGTAATCCCTATCCTTATCCACTGTCACAATCTCATACCTGCCTGCTGTAAAACACACATTCACATTCACATATACTGCACACAGTATTTTGCCATATATCTGTTTGCCACAAAGTCAAATACTTGCCCATATTCCAGCAGTTATTAAAGGCAAAGTGAAGCAGATTCATAATTCATCTTTTCATTTATGTGATTGGGATAAGAGTGGCCTCACATTTTCACAAAAATGTTTGGCCAAGTAATAGAGAGCAGCAACTAAACATCTCAGTAACAACTAATTGCTCTCAGATGGCATTTGCCCTCTCAGAGTATTCATCAGTAAGGAAGCAACACAAAAGTACAACCAGATGCTTCATACTTTATTTTCCTCTCTTTGTGAATGGCCCTGTTTACAGTACAGGGCCATGTGCCCTTCCTGGCCTTTGATCCTGTGCTCCAATGAGAGGAACCTCTGGCACTGCGTGGGTTTGAGGAATGGCGTACCCCTTGTTACTATTGAATGAAGCTGCATTTTAGAGGATGTTCTGCAGGTTCACATGCAAATGAATGATGTTTTTTTTATTTGACATCTCTTCCTTTTGTGTTTCTGTGTAGGTTTGACCAAGCCTGAGAAACAGCTGACTCCCAGTCAGAAATACCTAGCTATCAGGTACGTGACTCAGGTATGTTTTTACTGCCTCAGATAATGGGTTCATTAAATCAAGCCAAACTGAAAAGTTGACATGGTTTTAAATCTATTAATGAACTCAGTCTGAAAGAAATGATGCTCTTTTTTAAAATAAAGGCATCATTGCTTTGTGCATATGATATCACCACAGGCTCTCTCTGGTGTTGTCAAGCAGTTGTTAGAGCATTGGTATCTAGGAAACCAAACATGAACTGCTCTCATCTGAACTGTATTGTAGGAATGCCCTTCGCTCCATCTGTCCTACATTACAACGGCAGATTCCTCTCCCTCACAGATACTATTAGAGATGGCACTACAGCTGAGGTGTACAAAGAGTGTATGAAGCAGGATGTGAGTGGGGAGATGAGTTGCTACTGTACGCTATCAGGGAGTTAATATGTGATGACATAGATGAACTGAACAGAGATAAGAGACGGAGAAGATAGCGGGACCAGCTTCTTTACATTCATTGAAAAAGTGGTTCAGCACAGTTTTGATATTCACAATGAAACCCACTAAATGTGTAGATCATAGCATGAGCCAGTGTACCAATAAGGTCCCAGATAAGAGGCACCAAGCCTTTGTTTCGTAAACCTTCGCTGGCATACTATGAGTCAGCCGCTACCTTTCAGATAGCTACTGGGAAGGTGAAACATTAGCAGTCGATACAAGAGCTCCTGTTGCAGTTAGATCACTACCTCACCCAGCAGATTTAATTCAGGGAGGAAGTGTAAGAGACCACAAAAAGGTTCAAAGTCAGTCAAAGCACTCAGGCCCTCCCTCTCCTCCTGGACAATTCAATAGAAGAGGCCATACTGCTTTCTTAGTGGACAGGAAGCCATCTTTACATGTTTTCCTCTCTTTCTATAATCTGCTTTATCTCTTCCCTGTGGCCTTTCAGACGGATGCCCAGCTTGCTGGAGTACTTAAGCTACAACTGTAACTTCATGGGCATCCTGGCAGGGCCCTCCTGCTCTTACAACGACTACATGGCTTTCATCGAAGGAACGTGCTACCAGCCACGCCACCAGGAGAACGCCAACGGCAAGGAGAACGGAAAGTACAAGCAGACAGAACCCTCACCCAAGGTACAACACAGGTTTAACCGCTAATAGAAATGCGAACGTTATTTAAAGTCTTCAAACACTTATTAGAGTAGAGCACACCTGCATGTTGTGTTGTGGTAGGTGAAAACCTTCTCAGTCATAAACCCTCAAAGAGAATAATTGAAATAGCAGATATAATGTTTCAAATCAGGACTTTATACTATGATATTCTATTTTTAGTGATTTATGTTTAAAAAAACAAAACAGCAGTGTAGTTGTTTCAAGTTGTGCCGGGTAATTATAAGGCACGTGTTCCCATTAGAGAAACAGACACATTGTTGAATAGTTTGACGCAAATGTCTGAACCTCAAGGCAATTTCTGTTTACTTATCGCGTACTGCATTCATAATTTAATTATTCATCGTAAATTAGAATGAAACTGAGAGGAACACAATCGTTCTTGAATAAAACATAAGAGTTATCAAGGACTTTAGTTAACCTCAAGGTAACTAACTTTTGTATCACTTCTCCTAGTGTGTTTATTATTGATAGCCGAATACAATATGATGTAATGGGTTTTGTTTAACTGGGCTACTTGATCCCACTCTTCTCTCTCACCTCCACCCAGAATGACGTCATCTCCAAGCTGTGCACATGTGCCATCTCGCTGGGCATCTATCTTTCTCTGTGCAACCTGCTTCCTGTGGAGCACTCCATAGACGATGAATTTGTCAGCTCCACGCCCTTCTATCTGCAGATCATCTATCTTTACCTGGCCATGCTGGCTCTCAGGCCAAAGTACTACTTTGTCTGGACACTTGGTGAGTTTGATGTGAATATCTCACTGGAGTGCACTATTCCTACCACCAATCCCATACAAAATATATACTTTTGTTTGTTGGTGAATTTAGCTGGAAGAGGGACCTTGAGTTACCCTGAGTATCTTAAAGCACCTGGATGGCCTTTGTGTGTCCCTGTCTTTTTCTGTAAATAATGAACTTTGAATGAACACTATGTTCCATTCCCTTTAATAGCTCGACTGGTACCAATTTTATACAGCGTTATCTTTTGGTTTTGTTAAATGCTACTGCCCATTGAGGTTTCATGAACTCCCTGAACTTGGTTATTTTTAAAGTAGTCTTTACAGTATGTGAGATGCAGCCTAAAACAGTCCCTGGCTCTTATTTAACTGCGTCTCTTGATACAACAGTGCCATCTAGTGTTCAGCTAAAAAGTTGTTAAAAGGACAGAAACAGTTGATGCCAGATCTCCATCTTTCTCTGTTGTTGCTTCACAAACTAATGCTTTCTAAGGATATGGAGCTGTTGTCATCCTTTTAATGTTGAAGTAACATGTGTGCCTTTCTCCTGCAGCTGATGCTATCAATAATGCTGCAGGATTCGGTTTCAATGGATACAACAAAGATGGCTCCCCCCGCTGGGACCTTGTATCAAATCTCAGAATTCTGGACATTGAGGTTAGGCTCTTTTTATCAGACAAATCATATGCAAATATGGCAGTTTTTTCTACTTAAGTCTAAAGACTAATTTTGTGGTTTACTTTCAGTTTGCCACCAGTTTCAAGATGTTCCTAGACAACTGGAATATCCAGACAGCTCTTTGGCTCAAAAGGTAAAATCATTAATGTTGTAATAAAGTACCCTGCTTAGTTTGTGTGAGAGCAAGACCTGGCTGCAGAGGGTGTATGATGCATATCTGAAGTATAGCAATTTGACTTATAAGCATACTAGACTAAAACACTCTCACATAAATTATTCATACATAGACATAAAACATGAATTAGTTCATTCAAGAACAAAACCCATAAAAAAATAAAAAATAAAAAAGATAACCAATTGTGTTCATTGTAAATAATTATATCCTAACAACAAATGCACAAATTTGCTTTTTATAATGTGATACATATTTGAAGACAACTATTCATTTCCATTTTATTTCTTATGATGGCCGGTCTCTTTCATTTATTTGTACTTTAAATGTTTTGACTAAACCCCTAATATGTGTCCTGTTTCCAGGGTATGCTATGAGCGCTGTCCCTTCAACCCCATGGCGGCCACCTTCCTGCTGTCAGCCATGTGGCACGGGTATTACCCCGGCTACTACCTGACCTTCCTCACTGGCATTGCCATGACCATGGCAGCTCGTGCAGTAAGTACCCACAGTTCCTGTCTATACAGTAGCCATTGTTGGAGTTTCCCCAGACAGATTCAGCCATATGGATAATTATGCTCTTGTAGCTCATGAATCACCCACTTTGGAGTGAACCCTACAGTCATTATAGACATTTTGTCTAAGAGCTCTTTAGATTTGCCAATGCTACTTAGCTTAAACCACAGACAAACAACACAATCCTTTTATGGGGAGTAAGGGGATCATAATAAAGTATCCTGGGTATGCCACTTGTGTTTCAGTGTGAGGCCTTTACCACTAATCTGTGCTAAGCCAGACCTCTTCACTTTAGTCTTGTGAAAGAAGGAGACAAGAGGGTATTTATGTTGAGACATTGTAGTGATGCTACAGGGGGATAATCTATTTACGAAGTTGATTAACTGAAACGCCCGCACAGAAAAGTGTTGTGCAGGTGAGTTTATCCTTCTTTTAGTCAAAGGAGGACTGACCCAGTTTCTCTATAAAACCACACAGACATGTCAAGAGATAGATTCCTCTGAAGAGTTATGAGAAAGAGAAGAAGAAAAGAGAAACATTAAGCAGATTATAAGCAAAACTAGGAAGCTATGCCATTGCCTGCTGTCATGAAAGATTTCAGGAAACAGGATAATTGGTTAATTTAAAGTCTATTGTACAGTTAAATAAGAAGAATGCACATTCAGTCACATGAAAATAATGTTTGGAACTCACATGATGTTCTTTTGTTTTTTTCCAGGTAAGGCACAACATCAGACCACACTTCATGGTCTCTGACTCGTACAAGCGCATCTATGATGTCATCACGTGGGCATGGACTCAGGTTGCCATTAGTTACACAGTGGCACCATTTGTCCTACTTGCTGTGGGACGCTCACTAAAATTCTACAGGTTTGTGTGTTTGTTGACATTAAATAAAAGGCCAACAATGATCAGTGTCATTCGTGTGAGGACTGCGGTTTAATCAGCTATTGGCTGCTAGAGAGGCATACTCAAAAAAGATGAAGGTTACTTCAGAGCTGTGTTGTGGAAATAGTTATTAAGGCTAAAATAAATCTCATACAGTATGTGACTAATTGGTTGTCTCTGCAGGTCCTGGTACTACTGCTTACATATCCTCTGCCTCCTGGTGGTACTGGCCCTGCCTGTCAGATCAAGACACCTACAGGCCAAAGAGCAACAGGACGGCCTACAGGACAGCCAGATTGACCACAACAGCACAGACAACAACTGCAACCAGAAAGAAAAGGCCACATGAGGCGGAGGACCGACAGTCCCTCTTCAGCAGCAGAAACACTGAGAGGAACCACTGAGATCTGGAGTGTGGCGAGTCTGTGTACCCGACAAAACCAAATAACGGACGCTCTGAGAATCCTAACGGACAGAAAACACAAGTCAAAGTTCTGTCAAAACTTCCAGTAGCAAGGTTGACAGCAATCACAGTTTCTGACGTGGATAACCAGGATAACAATGTCCACGGTATAAACTAATGAGAGATAGTGGTAACTTTACATTACATTAGTGGAAATGAAGACTTCCAAGCTGCCTTAAACCCTCTATGTACTCTGCTGGATGCCACGCTGCATGAACCTAAATGCAGCTTCAGCATTGTGGTGTCAGGTTATACAAACAGATTAGATGTGCAGTATGTGGAGGGTTTTTGTCAATGTCTGGATACAAGCCTCTGTTAGGTGGAAACCGAAAATGTGTTCACGTAAATGAAACATAACCTTTATCATCAGCTGCCAACTTCAAACAGGCCTTAGGATCCTCAAAACATCATTATGTCTTTTTAAAAACCTTTATTGGAGCAGTATTCACATTGTACGTGTTTTGTATTTAGATGTTTGTGGCAACACTATTCAATTCCATTCTCAATGCTTTTTTTCTGGGATAAATTGACTGAAATAGAGTCCGGAAAGTGGAATACAAATCTCGTCTGCCTCCATCAGTGGAAAGTCTAAAAGAGACACTCAAGAGTTAAATGGATTTCTGTTTGTTTTACTTTTTTCATATCTGCTGCTCTTTTGACAAATATGACTCATCAGATAAACGTGTGTGTTTCAAAGGGAGTGCATTTACTCTTATGAGACTTTCATTTTTTCTTGACAGATTTCTGACATTGTTCCCTGATTTTTTTCATTTTCATTTGTTCATATTTTTCACTCAAGTTTTACTTTGTGTTCACATGTCTTGCCTATATATATATATATATATATATATATATAT